GCAGGAGGATGGATGCTTTGGATGTGCTAAACTGCTTCAAGAACAAGAAGATGATTTAGAAGTGTCAAGTTCCAAAAACCATTCTGAATGGTAACATCTTGCCCAGAAGATCATCATTAACGACCGTCGTGTTTGATCGAAATTAGAAAGAGGGGGAAGCCCCTGGATCCATTTATCATACCAGAAGCGAACAGAGGAACCATCCGCAATAGACCAAGTTAAGAAGCTGTAGAAGGTCGACTAGATTTTGGTGAGAGCTCGCCAAAGATGAAAGCCAAAAGATTTGTGAATCGAAATGGGGCAAGTGGCGTCCGCAATAGTCATCCCTTTAATGACAATTAAAATTATCGTATCTATTTTATAAAAAAATATAATGTTCAATGTTCGTTATATAACTTTTGAAATTTTAACATATAAGAAAATTATTTTAACATAATTTAGTGGCTATTTAAAAAATTTATCTTACAAATTTAGTGGATTAATCATGAAGTGATACTTGATTTTTTTAATGTTTACCTGATAAGAACAATTTAATTAATGATATATTTTAATGTATTACATTAATGATATATTTCAATACGTTATGTGTGTTATAGATTCATCCTATCATATGAATTGTTAAAATAAAATATTTCATCTATTACTCATTGTCTCTGCGAATACATTCATTCTTATTATATAGTCACAACTGCATAACTACCATAACAAACCAAGCACTAATTAATGTAGCTAACAGCTAATTAACTCAACATGAATTTTTTTTTTATAAATTCTAAATTTAATTCTAATCCTATCTGGTAGGGATGGGAATGAGAACGCTCACAGTGGGTCTAAACCCATGACCTAAGGAAGTATGAGAGAATAAAGATAAGCAACATGATCACCCGATCAAATGTGCTTGCTCTCACGTGAATTAGGTTAAAATTAACATTTTAATCAATATTTTATGGGGAAAATATAAAAATGGACCCCAACTATATGACACTATTTTGTAGAGTCCCCCGACTATAGAATACTAATTTGTTGAGTCCCCGACTATTAAAAGTTATAAAATAGTTACTAACTATTCATATGTTTAAAAAAGTATCATTTTTGGTTAAAAAAATTGAATGTCTTCTGAGCTGGACGTTAACCTGTTGATTGAGATATGATGAAATTTGATCCTAAAATCGTTTGAACTGTATTTTATTGTCGAGCCAATACTTGAAAGCAACAACGATGGTAATAAACATAATTAAAATATAATTTTATCATATTATAGTTAGCAAATTAACGTCTAACTAAGGATAGACATGGGTCAGGTTTTTTACCAACCCAATCTGACCTGAAAAATATGCATCCTCCACCTAAAACTCGATTTGACTCGAGTTTAGGGTGACTTCACTCGACTCGAAACCCGACCTACCTTTTGAGATAAAACCCAAACTCAACCGACTCGACCCAAAATAACTATATTTATAAAAAATATTAATTTTATTCTATAAAATATGTTAAATAATAATAATAATATATAAATGAGTATCATTGCAATTATCTATAAACTTATAAGGTATAATTACATTTTTTGGATAGCATATTTTTCACCTTAAACTTGAACTTGACCTGACCTGACCCGACCCGACCCAAACTCATCCTCCAAAAAACTAACACGACCTAATAGAGTCGGATCAAGTAATAATTCGTCAGGTTTGAGTCTGTGCCCATCCATATGTCCAACTCAAATAATCGTAAATTTTTAACAAAAAAAGAAGAAGATGAGTTTGTAATATATGAATAGTTGGGTGACTATTTTTAACTTTTAATTGTCGATGACTCAACAAAACAACTCTCTATTGTTAGGATGCCATTTTGTAAATTCTAATAGTCAAAGAACCCAATAAAATAGTATCCTATAATCAAAGGACCTTTTATATACTTTATCCTATTTTATATAAGAACAACTATTCAATTATATTTGAAAGTTTGAAGGTTATAGTAAAAAAATGTAAGATAAAGTATAATAGATATTACTAAACTATGTTAAAATGATTGTTTTAGTCATTAAAATAATAAAATTTTTAAAATAATTATTAAATTTATTAAATCACTAAAAAATAATTATTGCTACATTATAATAATTATACAAGTTTGATAATTATTTTGTGATATTTTGATGAAATTTAGTTACCATTTTGTAATATTTTGATAAAACTTAATAAAAATTTTATAATTGTTTGAAAATTTTAATGATAATTTTATAATTTTTAAAAATTAAGTGACTAAAACAATATTTGATCATAGTTCTTTGACATTTAATGTACTTTATCCATACAGTTGGAGTTAAATAGACAAAATGTAAGCATGGAATGTTAAATGTATAATTATACTAAAAGTAAAGCCAGGCTCGCCCTATTGTCATAACAGTGGCCCCATCCACCTCATGATACCATATAAGGTGCGTTTGGTTCACGGAATGTAAGATTACCAATGAGAATGTAAGATTATCAGGGAATAAGATTACTGGGAATGTTTTATTTTGTGTTTGGTTGACTTAGCATGAATGTAAGATTATCGTGTTTGGTTAAAGTAATAAAAGATTATTAGAATGTATATTTAACCAAATTGTCCTTATTATATATTTGTTTTTTTAACAAGTTGGAAAATATTTATATATTTTCTTTAAAAAAATTAAATTCATAAAATTTTATATAATTTTTTTTTAAAAATTGAAAATATAAAAAGGTTTAATGAAAGGGTAAAATTTTATTTTAATCCCTGAACTTCATATAAAATTTTATTTTTGTAAATCTAAAATAGTTTAAGGATAAATTTGTAATTTAACCTTCGTAGAATTTTCATTATTCAATGACATAAGAAGGATATTTTTGAAAGAAAAAAAAAATTAAGGCCATTTTAGTCCAAAACGCCAATAATCCAACAATACCTAAGGAAAAGGAGATAATGACATTCCCGATAATATATCCAAAAAAATCTACTATTGGTAATCTTATATTACCAGGAATGAGATTCTCGGGATAATCAAACGGGGGAATGTGAATTTCATTCCCATGGGGATCCCACATTCCCCCATCCAAACACCCCATATAGTTATAGGTTGATGTGCTGCCGCTGTTAGGTGGTCTTTATAATTTGTTTAGTTTTTTTTTATGCATGTTGAGCTGTCCATGACATTGAATGTAAAACATATGAATTGAACCACCATTTTATTCAAAATTATTTGGTAATTTGGTATGGCCATTCGTTCGCTTCTCTCCCTCCCCGAAGGTTCTTAATTTTATTGGTTAGGTCCATATCATAAGTGGTGAAAAAGGTTATGCAATAATTTCTCGTGGTGGTCTTCGTTCAACAAATCATGGTTGATGATCTAATTACTGTGTTTAGTAAGTACTTGGACGATGATTTCAGCTTTGAGAGAAATTGAATCAACTCTAACACCGGTTATCAAGCCACTTGAATGAAAAAGAAAATTGATGCGCTACTGACATTGCTGTAGGTGGGTGATTGGTCTTCGAGTAGTGAGCTCCAAACAAAACAAGGGTGGATTATGAGGAATATAGGCAAGTGAAGGAGAGGAAGAGGATGATACTTGACTGTGGTGGGTTATTTAAGATGCTTATTTAAGAAATAAAAAGATAAATTTAAAAAAATAAGAGGATTTCAATTAATCAACTATAAAAACATGTTAATTTTAGAAGTAATTATCAAAGTCACCTTTAACCATTGATAATTTTGACATAATCGTCTTCGCTGGATAAAAAATATTTGATACCCAAAATCGTTGACGATTTTATTAGATTCAACGAGCAATTGCTTTTTTTAATTGATGATATTACAAAAACCAACTGTAACGTTAATACTTTCTGCTCTGAACAACATATCACCCATATACAACAATCAATCAAATAATACCCTCGTCTTCACATAACTTAGCATTGATCACTCCCTGTTTTATACGCATAAACCTCAATCGGACTTCCTCCTCTATCTTTCGGATGACTTCATCCACATTGTTTTGGACCCCGCGGCGCCAAAAACCCTTCTGTTTCCCTCCTTCCAAATGTAGCAAACACATGCACTCCGAATTACCTTCAACAAGGTGAAGACAAGGGTCTTACTCTTTAGCTTCGTCACTTTCCAACAGACCTCATATTCCCAAATTTCAGTTCTCCTCGACAACTGACAGAACAATTATACAAAAGATCAAAATGAAAGAGAAAATAAATTGCCGGCAGAGGGGAGGATAAAAAAACTGACACTCATGGTGTGAAATATCAAAATGAAAGAAGATAGTATATTGAAATATTTAATTAATATTTAAAAAAATTATATTTTTTATTAATTAATATTAAATAAATACAAGATAATATCTGTTCATAGATAACTCTTAATAATTTGATATTGAGCAGTCTTATCCATGATATTCATAGTGCTCGAACTTGGAATCTCCAAAAAAAAAAACTCTTTTACCATCGATATCACTTGATCCGTGTATATAATTTTTTATTAAATAATTGAAGCCAATACCCATAATCTCATAAAAGACCGTCACGGTTTTCACCTGAGGTTAGTATTTAGGTTATAATAGAGGCTGTGAAGTACTTTGGGCTTTGAGGCTATACAATTGGGCTGGCATAACATGCACATAAATTTTTCTCCAACAATGGATGATCGTACAGACTCAGTGAACCGGGACTAGGGTTTGAACCGAGTATAAGATGGGTTTCCTAGTGACTCAAAGCCCCTTTCTGATAAAAAGAAAAACAACAAACATAACCTCAGCACTCTGCTGCTCAATCGCATCTACTCTGTTCCAAACCCTAAAAGCAATGCCTCCGAAAGCATCTAAATCCAAGGAAGTACCAGCCGATAGGCTGATCCTTGGCCGATTCTCTTCTCACCTCAAGATCGGAATCGTAACTTTCTTCTTTCAACTTCATTTTTCATTTCATTTCTTGAAGCTAAAGCTTGATATCTTGTGAATATCGCTTCTTCACTTGCAGGTGTGGGAAAATCTACTCTTTTCAACACGCTTACTAAGCTTTCAATTCCTGCTGAGAACTTCCCCTTTTGTACAATCGAGCCTAATGAAGCCCGAGTTAATGTCCCCGACGAGCGATTCGAATGGCTTTGCCAATTGTTCAAACCCAAAAGTGAGGTATAACCTGTTTTCTTCTTTGTTTTGCCTGTCTGCATAAAATTAGCATTACTTGCACTTAAGCCGCTGCAATGGTATTATATCCAAGTAAGCCCTTATCCTTTAATTTATACTTAAATTGGCCCTTGATATAAGGCAACCTTTCCTAAAGGCTTATTTCAGCACAATTCAAGTATCGGGGCTTACTTAATAAAACTGAAATTGTTCAGGGTTTTTTTTTAGTGTTTTAGCCTTTTTCCATGTAAAAGGCTGAATGTAAGCTCACTATTATTTTATTAGCTTGTTTCTGCCTAAAACTTAGAGAAGTGTGGATGCATCAGGTTTCAGCTTTCTTAGAAATTCATGATATTGCTGGACTGTTTAGAGGTGCCCATGAAGGCCAAGGATTGGGCAACAACTTCTTGTCTCATATCCGTGCAGTTGATGGCATTTTTCATGTTTTACGTAAGATGCCTATCCTTTTGAGCTGGAATTTTTTTTATGTTACAAATCACGATGTTTGCTTACTTCAATGCAGCATAAAATTTAAATTTTTATCATACGTTGAGGAATATTTATTTTTCTTTTACAACAAAGGATTGTTAAAGTTATTAAATGGTTTGATGTTATTTAAAGCCATTTTTTTATAGTTATAACCTGTGTGCTTTTGGTGTAAGAATTATTTCATTGGAATCTTATTTTTTGCACTCAATCCTTCAGGTGCATTTGAAGATTCAGATATCATCCATGTTGACGATTCTGTTGATCCTGTAAGAGATTTAGAGACTATTAGTGCCGAGTTACGGTTAAAGGTTTGTTCTTGAATTCTAATATTCCTGCAATAGTTATTTGGAGCTCTGATTAATAAAATACAATTAAAATACAGCTAGCCTGTTTTTCATTTGGAATTGGAAGATTAAGAAACACACATTACCATTCTTTTTAAGGCATGTCTTAGCACTGGACAACAATGCCTATTTGATAAGGTGCATGCCTGGTGCACTTTTGGCTTGCTCACCTGATTGAAGTTCTCTTCAACTTCTTTTTTTTCCTACCCTTTTCATTGGATGTATCTTTACTGGGAAGAAATGAACGGTATTGAACTCTATACTTCTCAATTTTTTAGCATTCAGCTATTGACATGGACCATAAGGGCATGCACAGTGACCAATAAAAATTCCATTCTTTACAATTAGACACATACAAAAACTCAAAGATATACATATTGCACTTTACTTCACTTGGCTAGTCCTTATGTGTCTTGCATGTTGCATCTGCAGCAATATAAGGATTCTAGCTCCTAGAGTGGGTGTTGCACCTTGACAACTCCCATTTTGCAAGTTTGAAGATGAAGAGGACCTTTTCGTATGCAATAACTTCGTTTATGTACTGATTACTTTCTAACTTCGTTTTCTTTAGGATGTTGAATTTATGGAAAGGAAGATAGAAGATCTTGAGAAGAGCATGAAAAGGAGTAATGACAAGCAATTAAAAATAGAGCTTGAAGTGTGTCAAATGGTAGGGTTTTGGACATTTGATCTTTTACTTTTTCTGCAGGTCTCATCTTATGTATGTCATTCTTGTGGGTCTGATTTTTTATTAACGTTTTCTATTGCTGCTTCTTATGTATTGTAAATAGAGGAAATTGTCTCATTATTCTTCTATGTGGCTGCCCTTTAGTCTATGTACATCTTGATATTGTTTTTGGTTTTATCTTTACAAAAGATAGTCTTTATTGAAGTTTAGGATTTTAGGCTGGTTCTGTTCTCTTTATAGCAGACTGTTGAACTGAGAGTTCCTACTTTTAGTAGCAACCTTTACTCCAGAACTTTAGACCACCAGTGACCATGATCCAAAAGTGGCTATCACCTCACATAAGGTTCATGGCCTTAGACCCACAATCTAAAAGATGGGCCCAAATTAACATTCAAGACCGTTATTTAAAAAATTGTGGTCAGAAGCTCACATACTGAAGACCATGACTGTGGTGGTGGTCAAAAGTCATCGGTAGAGAGTAATTGTCACCGTACATAAAGTCTACATTTTATCCAGTTTTTGTTTTTGATGGTAACTTGTAAAGACTATTATAGCTCAGTCAAGTATGCATTTAATCATATTATCATGTTCATCGGATATGAGCTTATGCTATAGAGCAAAATTTGCTAATGGTAGATTATATTAATTCCAAAAAGCAATCTTGCTTGTTATATTACAGGTTAAGGCATGGATCGAAGAAGGAAAAGATGTTCGTCTAGGGGACTGGAAAGCGGCTGATATTGAGATATTGAATACTTTTCAATTGCTTAGTGCCAAGCCAGTTGTTTATTTGGTTGGTGTTCCTTCTGTTGTACTTACCAATGCCTTTATTTTCCTTTTCTTATGGCTGTGTATGTTTAATATGTTCTTGTCATCTGTTATGTGAGGTTTGCTGCTATCTTTTATGGTTTTTTGCTTGCTGTTTGCCTGTTTCTCTGTTCTAAGTATAGCAATCTGTGACAAGATTTTCCTATTACTACTTAAATGATGTGATGAGTGATGGTATAACCTAGATGTCTGGATACCTTGTCAATTTTCAGAGTTAAATATGAGTTCATAGATGAAGTCTTGCATTCTTACTGTAGATTTACAATAGTATTACCAAGTAGAAGACCTGAATATGTTTGCTTTACAAACTGTTGTCATTTCCAGCTGCCTTGTCTTTTTGCATTTTCTTTTTGCTTAATGTTGTTGATCCATTAACCAATTTATATGTTGTAGCTGCTTACTTCAATATGAGAGAGCCTCAGATGTGTCATGGCTTGTAATGTTAATTTTTTAGAGAAAGTAGTTTCTTTTATCTTTAACAATTTCAGGAATGTGGACAGATATTTTATTATCATACTATTTTATTTTATGTGCAGGTGAACATGACTGAGAAAGATTACCAAAGAAAAAAGAACAAGTTCTTACCGAAGATTCATGCTTGGTATGCTCTCTTCTTTTCTGTGTGTATGTCTCAGGGGATGGGGTTCACATGTTCTTGTTCTATATAATGCCAAGAAACATAGCAAGATGATATCGCACTGGTTTCTGTTATTTTGTCTAATGTTTCCTGGCACATTCCAATGTTTAGGTTTTCTATTGGCTTTTATTGAGGTAGGAAAGGATTGGGTAAAGTAGAGAAGCTCGAGATTCGCCAAAAATTTGCTGGAATCGGGAAGAACCATAGGAAATTGATAGAGAAGTAGAAGAGAGGGAGAAACAGGGGAAGAAATATAAAAATTAATGGTCCATAATCCCTGTAATTTATAATCTAAAACCTACTTAAATGTAACAACCAGATCATATATAGGCACAGGCCATAAACTGCTACAAAATCCCAAGTACTATAACAAGATTAATATAAACTCTAATAGTGCAACAGTTAGATTCACTATGGTGTTACTGTTAGAAAATACATTTAACTGAAAAGCTTAAAATTAAGTGGGTTTAAGCAGCTCTCAGTGTTGACAAATCATCCTTTAGCTTTTGATTTATCATACTTATAAAAGCTTATTAGGGTTTGTTTATTTTCATTTGGATTGAGAATTATCTTTTACAGGGTTCAAGAACATGGTGGTGAACCTATCATTCCTTTTAGCGGCGTGTTTGAGAGAAACCTTACTGATATGGAACCTGCAGAAGCTGCAAAATATTGCAAGGAAAACAAGGTGCAAAGGTTAGATGAAAATGGATGTCTTTTGTTTTATGGGTTTAAAATGCTTTTAGTGTTAAATGTCAAAGTCTGATGGTCAGTCTTTAGTGCCTTGATGATTGACCTGATTTTTTTTCCTTTTTCTTATTGTGTATTTATGATGCTGAGGAATTTTTTTTGGTCACAGTGCTCTTCCAAAGATCATCAAGACTGGTTTCTCGGCTATTAATCTCATATATTTCTTCACAGCAGGACCAGATGAGGTACCTAATTCTTGGTACCTATTTATTTTAAGGGAATGGTTGGTTCTATTTAAATGTTAAGAAGTTGTCTGAGGATCAAAGAGTATTTACTGCTTTTAAAAATGATCTAAGATCATTATATTGAATTTTAGACCTTTTTCATATGTGATGTCCTCTGGATTTGTTACCTAGTCAATAATCTTTATTTTGATAAGCATGTTGTCATTTGACTTCCATAGCTGCCCACAATGATAACTCAGTACATCTTAGAATACTGATATTGCAGTGTTGTAATCTAAATGGCTATCCTTATTCTGAATTTCCCTGAAGGTCCATGCAGTTGCAAGTGTTGAAGCTTTCTCTAAAGTCGATCACTTCTTGGAGATCTTGCATTTTAGCTTTTTTTTTTTTCTTCTTGGGTTTAATCAATTGATGGCATCAATAATTTGATTGTTTTTCCCTTTCCAGGTGAAATGCTGGCAAATTAGACGGCAATCCAAGGCTCCTCAAGCTGCAGGAGCCATTCATACAGATTTTGAGAGAGGATTTATATGTGCTGAGGTTGGGTCTTAGATCATGACTTCTTGTATATTATATTAAACCTTGAAAGAAACTTTTAAAGTTTGCTGTATTATCTTCTGCGATGAACTATGACACAACAATTATGCCTTTTCAAGTGGCCCCTTTTCTGCAACACGATTTATTTAACGTGCTCAGAGTGTATTGATTACTGTTGTTTTTCTATTGCTTAAGTTTAAACATTGAATCTTTTGTGATGTCGAGCGTTGTTGTACCAACTGAAAGGACAACATTTCCTTTCACCTATTCATTTGATTTTCTTACCAGCTTCTATGGCAACATATATATGTCTTTTAGTGACTGTTTTCTGTGTGTCATCCAGGTCATGAAATTTGAAGATCTGAAGGAGCTTGGAAGTGAGGCAGCTGTTAAGGTTAGTATGCCTATGAATGGTTTTCTTTTAGCTTTTGTTTGCGTAAAGTGTCTGTTGGAAATCAGAATAAAAGGAATAATTATTCAAGGGGGAAAGAAAGTGACTTGACATGTGATCTAAGGCTAGAACTGTGAAGTTTAGGATTTAAGCTCATGTCACATGTAATATTGAGAAGCCTTGCCTTGGGAGTGTGATTAAAGGTTGGATATAAGCTCATTGCATCTTGAGCTACAATTGATGATCCGTGGTTCATATCCAAAGTTTGTACGGTGCCATTTATTTAACATGTAAAGTTTCGCATGGTTTCATCTAGTTGCAATGACGTCTGGTTTCTCACAAGTTTCCCTTTTGATCAGGCTGCTGGAAAATATAGGCAGGAAGGGAAAACTTACGTGGTCCAAGATGGAGACATAATATTTTTCAAGTTCAATGTTTCTGGAGGTGGGAAGAAGTGAAGCAAAGACTCCCAAGCGGGGATGTGGCGCTTGGATCGCACTTGAATCCCCGGAAAAGGTCAAATCCGTATGCATTCCGACCCTATTTGTTTCTTTGCTAAATACCACCACTTAACAACACCCCCTAGAACCAAGAGGTATTTGGGTAGGCATCCGTTTGTTATGTTGATGTATGAGCTTTATTTGTGGAATCATATATATATATATGCACATATTGGAGGAGGATAGATTATATGTATCATTTGCACCGCATCCACCGCAGGGGTGGATGCACTAATCCCTTAGGGGTTAAGTGCATTCCCATTATTTAGTAAAAAAAGGTGAAATTTTGTTTAATACGTTAAGGAAAAATAGAAAATAAAATTTTTTGCATACCTGTTATTTTTAAGAAATTGATATTAAAATTTTAGATCCTATTCTTAAATTTCTGAATTCGTTACTGTATTGAATTCGTTACTGTATGTAGCAATTTGAATGTTAACATTGACTTTGTTGCTTAAATTGCATCTCTCTTGAGAACTTTAATCTTTAATAATTAGAGGTCTATTTCTTGCCGTTGATGGGCACAACCTTTGTTCTAAAAGAAAAGGCATTTATAAATATATATTTTGTTAAAGGCCCTCTATTTATACTTTCTCATCATTAGTCCTGGTCATAATTGTAAAAAATATATTATTTAGAATTTCATTTTCAGTTATATAGTATGTTGATCGAATTTATTATACCTTAAAAAAATCCAAGCTTGAATCTCAGTTTAGTCCAAAGACTCAAAAATTTTAAAATATATTTTATTTTATTTTATTTTAAAACTCTTGGAGTTTAAAATTTTTAAGTTCGACTTGAAATTAAATGGAAGTTTGTAAAAACTTGAAATGAAAAAAAAAATTAAACTTAACTCGATTGGTGCTTCAAATTTGAATTTGAATCTTAAATATATGATAATTTTATATTGAATTTTTTAAAATTATTATAGAAATATTAATATTATTAAAAAATTATTTTATTAAAAATGAAAATTTAATATATTATATTTCTAAGTTGGTCGTTAGTTTTTAAGAGAGTATCAAATAATTTATTTTGATTTTTTAAGAATTTGAGTCGTTTAAACCCTAATCAAGTTTATTTAAATAAGTATTTATTAAATTTTGACGGGATGAATAACTCACAATCTATATATATATATATATTTTATTCGAAACCCTATTTCTATCAGTGTGTTCCAGCCTTGGGAGTTGGAATGGAAAGTTTCCGTATAGTGGTTGACCTATGAATGATAAAGAGAAACGGGACTCTCATCGTCATCTTCGTCATCAATTCCCACGTGTTGGTATCCCCACCGTTGGTCGAAAGTGGGATTCAAAGGGGGGTCCCGCACCTTCACCTCTTCCGTAATTATCCCCCCACCAAACCCCTATTCTCATTCCTCCTCCATTTTCCCGTAAATGACATAACAACCCATCTTTTTTGATAAAATGATGAAGAGTTTGATGTTTTAAATAAAATTTTGAATTTGATCGTTATAAGTAGGAAGAAGAAGAAGAAAAAACATGCTAATATTCCCTCGAACGTGATTAATATTCACTCAAATACTACTGTATATTGGGTGTCATATGTTCCCTCTCCTTTATAAAATAATTAATATATAAATTCTCAAACGTGATTTTAAATACCATAATAATTATAGTATGGTCAAGTTAACATTCAATCAATTATTTATTTATTTATATATATCCACTTATTTTATCCTACAAACTTAGATGAAAGATCTTTCTTTGAATACTTTCGAAATGGATTAAGATTTAATATTTTAAAAGATTTAATACTTATACGAATATGTTTAAAAGATGCAATCCATATTTAAGAATTCAGAAGATAAATAAATAAAAAATAATACTAATAGATTGACTTAATAAAAAAATATGGGCATGAATTTTACTTCGAAAAATAATTTTGTGCTTAAGGATTTTTTCGTTAAAAATTGACGTCTAAAGTTTCTAAAGGTATACATTTAGGTGTCTGTCGTTAAAAATCGTTGTTAAATGACACATGTCAAATTCTGATAATTTTAAAAATTTAGTTAAACAAAAATATTAGAAAAAACCCAACACCCAGCAGAACCCCCCACCACGTGCCTTCTCCCTCCCCCACTTCTCCCTTTTATGCCAATCGACGGTGACTATCACCGCCACTATCATCGGTACGGCTTCGACCTCCGATCAAAATTCCTGTGACCTTTTGCCATAATCTGCTCGTGGAGATACGTTCAAATTTTCGTCGGATTTTAAGTCATCGTCACCATTTTTCGTATATTTCAACCGATATCGACATCCATATGCCACCCTGTCACCACCATTCGAACCACCGTCTAATTTCGCTAAAAACTCATCATCTCCGTCGCTCCGTCGGTATTCCACCATGGTAACAGATTGAAATGAGATATTTTAATTTTTTTTTCATTTTTGTATAATTTCATTAAAAGTTTAGGGGTTCTTTTGTAAAAAAATTAAGATTTTTATTAAAATATACTATTTTATTATTTAAATTTTTTAAAAAATATAACAGTAGACGGCTAATAGATTAAGTTTAAGGGTTCTTTTATAAATAAATTAAGTTCATACATTTATTTTTGTATCATCCTAATAGAATTATATTAAAAAAATTTGAAAAGCCCCGGTCAAAGGGGCACTGGCGGGCTCCAATCACTGATTGAGCCTTCTCTAAGGTCTATAAAGTTTTTGTGTTTTTGCTCCTAGTAAAATACAATGCTGTTCCACTGTGAGCTCCAAACCCATTAAACTATTGGAGAGTGCTTGTAATATCAAGGATGTCTTTGAATGAAACAGTGCCATACAAATTTAGGGTTTTTCTTTTTTGCTTATTGGCTCCTCACAACTAGATTCACGTGTTTGCTTAGAGAGAACTGTTGGTGCAAAGTGACCAAAAAGAAACCCCCTTCTTTTCACTTTTGGGGTATGGGGAGGGGGGCTTTGTTGTCATTGTCATGGAACGAGCTAGGGTTTCAGCCCTTCTCAGCAGCCAAAGTCCAAAAATTCTACTGTTTTCCCAGAAGGGTCTACAGCTTCATCCTAATAAAATACACCATAAAATACATATTTGCTGCCACAATTAGTTCATGTGGGTCATTTAACTATTTATTTTAAAATCATACTTATTGTTGCGTTTTTATTCTATTTTTTATCACCCACCTGTAAACATAATAAAATTGTTAATGTTTTAATGATGACATGATATAATCTTATGATGATATATCAATATCACTGTTAATTTTTTAATGTTGGGCGATCAAAAATTAATCAAACGTAACATTAAATATGATTTTTTAAAATAATTTAGTGACTAAAATGAAACCGTAAGAATAGATGAGTGCCTAAATTATATTTTAAAAGTTAAAATAATCATTAAATTATATATATTATCAAAATTTATAAATAATATCAAATTATCAAATTATTACGCGTATTACATTAAAACATTGATCATCTTATAACAGTTTTGATAATTTATCAATTACTTTTTACCTTTTGAAAGTAAGTGACCAAAATGAACTCTGCTGTACTTTCCCTTGTCTTTTCATTTTACTTTTTCATGCCCATTTTTTTTTGTTTGAGTGAGCTCATAGTACCAGTGTGAAGCACTTTCATTTTTTCGGTAGGCAAATGCACTCGTTTGCTTAAAACTCGTGAGCTTTTTTCAGATAATAATAAGTTTTCTTTTGAGCATACGTTGTTGAATGAAGAAGGAATCTTGGTAAGAAAATTGCTGCATTTTTTTATCGTTAGATCTATGTTTGGGGCCCAGAGTTGTTGCAGCTGATTTTCAGTCATTAAATGCATTAGCTTAGCTCTCATTCTGTGTTGCTAAAGATTGTTACTTGTTGAAACTCGGTATCTTCCATCATTAATTCCTTCTGCAACCAGAATCATCACTTTTAAGCCTTGGACTTGGTCAAAATGTGCTCTTTTTGCTGTGTTATTCATCACACTTTGAGGATTCCCTGTAATATTCGATGATATTACCTTGTTACTTTATGTGAAGGGGTTGTCCTTTTGAGGTTGTATTTTGTGTTTAACGCCAATTGCTTGTCTGAAATTAAGGTTGTTGTATGAAAATCTGTGCGCATTAGGGAGTATTTCTTGTTTTTAAGTAACTTGGGATTTGATAGGGGTGGATATGAAGAAGATCTTTATGTTTTTGGTGTTGTTCCTATATTTCCTTTCTGCCATGGGGCAACTTCCCTCACAGGACATTATGGCATTGCTTGAATTCAAGAAGGGTATAAAGAATGATCCTACGGGATATGTCCTTGATTCGTGGAATGAGGAGTCGATCGATTTCAATGGCTGCCCTTCTTCATGGAATGGGATTGTCTGTAATGGTGGGAATGTTGCTGTTGTTGTCCTTGAAAACTTAGGTCTCTCTATTGATGCAGACTTGAGTGTTTTATCGAACCTCACGAAGCTGGTGAAACTGTCGTTATCGAACAACTCTATTGCCGGAGTCATTCCAGAAAATATTGGCGACTTCAAAGTCTCGAGTTTTGGATGTGTCGGATAATCTCTTTTCCTCAGCTTTACCACGGGCATTGGTAAGCTGGAGGGCTTGAGGAATCTTTCACTGGCAGGGAATAACTTCTCTGGCTCTATTCCGCACAAAATTTCAGGGCTTGCTTCAATCCAATCTTTGGACTTGAGTCGAAATTCCCTGTCCGGTACACTGCCGACCTCATTAACTGAACTGAATGAGCTGCTTTATCTAAATCTATCTTTCAACCAGTTTACCAAAAGCATACCGAAAGGGTTCGAGCTCATTTCCAGTCTTCAGGTGCTTGACTTGCGAGGGAATATGCTGGATGGCAGCTTGTCCGGGAATTTTTCCTTCTATCAAATGGCAGCCATGTTGATTTCAGTATGAATGCTGCAAAGCTCTACTCCACAGAAGTTGCTACCAGGCATTTCCGAGAGTATCAAGTTTTTAAATCTCAGCCACAAC